TTGTGGGAGCTACTATTAACCGACATAAACCACGTGAGCTAAACGTGGAGTCCGATGTATATGCCCCATCGAGAGGACCCAATATACCTTGTGAGGGGTATACAGGCATGACTGACGTAATCACTAAATCTGATGCCCAACAGAGGGGACTTATAAATCTTTGGGGGCACGCAGTTCTAGGACTATGAGGGTACACTGAACCCTAGTCCAACTTGGTGCTAAGTCTACTTTCAATTGAATATGCATATGACTGAAATGTAACTAAAATACTGAATAGCTCAAAATACTGACATGCTAACATTTATGTACTGATAATATGACATTCAAAATCTAGAGCATGATTATCTATTTAACTGACCTAGCAAGTATAATTCATGAACTAAGAAAATTCATGCAAACTAGGGTTCTAAGTTTCATACAAGGAATTAAGCAATGTTTCCAAGAAGCACGATATTTCGATTAAGAGTACTATAACAGCTAAAATCAATAATTCTCCAAAGTTTTTCAAACCCTAGGTCTAAAACTTGAAGAACACATCTGCTTGTTCTTGAAAGAAACTGGCGCCTCTTTCTCCTCTTTTCGTTCTATTTTTGATGATTTTTGAAGAATAAGGGTTCTGAGTATGTAGGACTAGGTTATTAGACTTATTCTGAGCAGAACGACGTAGTTTAGTCATCAAACGACAGTTTAAGTGCCCCAACGCATAGGGAAAATTCCAAAACGACCCTGACTTAAATGCTGATGAAGCCCATGCACGAATGAAATGATAGTCCATCGTTTGGACTACCGGCCGTCGTTTGGGTTCGTCGGTGAGGATCTTCCAGAAAGGGCTTCACTAAAATGAGCACAACATTTTACTTTGGGGTTGGATTTTAGCAAACTCAGTGGTGTTGGAAAGAGGATTCAATTATCTTTCATTTGATAGGTCATGGGCCACCAAAATCATTATGTGCTAACATATATGACTATTTGAAGTTGGCCTAACAACTATTTTCCTTGAATAACTGCTGACCCTCACCTACAGTCAGACCTATGGTCTGTAGGTCCAACCACAGACCGTACTGGTCGACCGTGGGTGGGATTAGAGACTATCAACTTTGGACCCCAATGACGGAACCAACCTACGGTGTGTGGTTCAATCAATGGACCGTGGTTCACGGTCGTAGGTGTCACCTATTGATTCTGAATTTTTCCTAAGTCTGGGACTGAACCACGAGACCCAACCTACGGTTGGTGGTCTGACCCACGCTCCGTCAGTGGCTTCTGTTGGTTCTTACACCAGATCCTGGAAAGCTGTATATTTCTGTTTTCTCGAATCCGAGGTGTTACGATTTAGAATAAAATTCCTTATTTAGTATTGTTCCTCAATCACCTCTATATTCTTTCTTCCCCATGTCTTTGGGAGCACATTATTTCTAATTATATTTCCCATGTGAAAAAAATATCAGTTCCTTATACTCTAAAGTTTATCTTCCTTGTCTATTCTATGGTTCAAGAAGGGTGTCGTTACTGCCCACCTGATCTTCGGTATCCACTTTTAGCCAATGAAACATATTTTGGGTCTTGGCCTTAGTTTACAGATATCTCTATTGTACTAGTAAATAGGGGAACTCTGATTACTCTATCTCCAATTAAAGTTCCACTACACCCTATTTGTTATTATCATCTGCATCTAGCATCACATCAAGATAATTTACACCCTATATCAGACCTTTCACCTACTATAGACTTATCTTTTCCTAGACACTTAAAAAAGGTATACAATCCACTCATAATATTAATCTCCATTATACCGTTTTAAGCCATCATCATTTGTCATCAACACATTATGTTTTTATATCATATGTATTCTCTGTTTCTATCCCTAAGTATTTAGGTGAAGTATTCTCACATAAAGTGTGATGATAGGAGGTTATTAACAAGACGTATTATTTACAATCGAGTGGTACTTGATATCTTGTTCCTCTTCCTTTAGGTAAATCTGCAATTGGTTGTCGTTATGTTTATCAATTCAAGTTGATCCTATGGGCCAACTTAATAAGCTTAAGGGATAAATTGTAGTTTTATTTTCCACTCATTCCTTATTTATTTTCACATCTATACTTTTTGTATCTATTTTATTTGGATTAGATTTGTAGTTCTGCTTTATTTCCAAAGTGTTTAATGATATATTTGAGTCTAAGTACAATGATAATTTATCTCAAGTGGATAAAATATCAAATGTCTTCCTTCTTGCTTTATGCCTATTATTTTCTATTGGCATCTCCATCAGTTGGACTTTAAGAATTGGTTTCTTTACAATGACCTTGAGGAATTTCTTTACAACGACCTTGAGGATGAAGTGTATAGGAAGCAACCATCTAGTTTTATTTCTCAGAGGAATCGTGTGGCCTTGAATGTCGATTGTGTTACTCACAATATATTAGAAACAATCTCCACGAACTTGGTTTAGTTACTGCAACATAATAATTCTTGAGTTTGGCATGACTCATAAGCATATCATTCTGTGTTTTATTGGAATTCTACTATAAATCTTTGTATTTTCTCTATTTATATTGGCGATATCATTATCAGTGGCATTAAATCAAGATGGTATCACTGTTTGCAACAAATTTTAAAGTGACAGAAAATAAATTACAATCACAAAAAAATATGAAGAAACATAATTTTATTCATCAAGATTGCGGGTACAATTTTGTTCCTCCCTTGATTCTACTCTCCTAAGATTTATCCATGATTTGAGGGCCGTTAGTGGCGTATTTCTCAAACTAGGATGATTTAGATTTGACCTCTATGAATATTCCATGACTTTTGTGGAATACTCGAGATGCCTTTTAATGGAATTGTTTAGATCTTGATCCATAAAAATACCCAAGAGTTTATGGGATATTTGAGATGCATTAAAGGGAATTATGTACCCTTTATATAGGCGTGAACTAGGGTTTAAGGTTGAGTAGCCTCCAAGAATCCTAATTTGAGTTGAACACAATTTGTAGAGTCCCAATTCGAATTGAACGCATCTTGTAGAGTCCCACAAAATTTCAATGTCTACAAATGCCCCCTGCTTCAAGGCTTGTTGGAGTGTAGCCTTGATGGAACTCAAAGACGTGGCTTGAAGTACTCATTCTTCCACCTTTGCAGCTTCAGATTTTCAGATTTGATTTAAGAGAGAAGAGATGAAGGGCAAATTTGATCCCACTGGGCGTGCCAATTTGTTTGCAACAAATTTTAAAGTGACAGAAAATAAATTACAATCACAAAAAAATATGAAGAAACATAATTTTATTCATCAAGATTGCGGGTACAATTCTGTTCCTCCCTTGATTCTACTCTCCTAAGATTTATCCATGATTTGAGGGCCGTTAGTGGCGTATTTCTCAAACTAGGATGATTTAGATTTGACCTCTATGAATATTCCATGACTTTTGTGGAATACTCGAGATGCCTTTTAATGGAATTTTTTAGATCTTGATCCATAAAAATACCCAAGAGTTTATGGGATATTTGAGATGCATTTAAAGGGAATTATGTACCCTTTATATAGGCGTGAACTAGGGTTTAAGGTTGAGTAGCCTCCAAGAATCCTAATTTGAGTTGAACACAATTTGTAGAGTCCCAATTCGAATTGAACGCATCTTGTAGAGTCCCACAAAATTTCAATGTCTACAATCACTAATTTGAAACGACACCTCTTTCTACACTTCCAGACTAATGATATCAACAAATTGAAGAACTTTCTAAGTATTGTGGTTGCTTAGTTCAGATTTGGCATTATTATGGCTCAATTATTTTGAGGAGATAGGAATGGTGGGGTGGAGATTCACTAATACTCCTATGTATATATATATATATATATATATATATATGTTAAACTATTACCATAATAGGGAGATCCACTAACTAATCTCGGAAGATGTAGGTGAATGGCTGGTTAGTTGAATTATCACACAGTGAATAAACCTCACATTTATTTTGACTATTATAGGTTAGTTTACGTATTTTCTTGTAATATTCATTGATATGATTTTATGCTTTCTACAATATGTAAAGTCAGCTCTAGCCAAAGGACTACTATTCAAAGTTCGAGGTCATGAGTATATCATTCAATATCCGAATATTGATTGTGTATGATCACTTTTAAATAGATGTTCTATATGTAGTTAATGTTTTTTGTAGGTAATTTGTTGTTCCAAAACAACAAAAAATAGATAATGGTTGCTCGATCTCGTGAGAAACAAAATATCTAGTGGCTATAGAAACTTATGAGTTAGATTTGATTAAAAGTTACTCAGAGGTTTAAAATTTTGAAAATTTAGTCGGATGGAACTAGTGTGTGATAATTGACCATTTATATTGCATCAAATATGATATTCCATGTGAGGACTAAGCACATTAAGATTAGTTGTCACTTCATTAGAGAAAAAATGTCCTAAGAAGATATTGTTACAAATTTTGTGAAGTCAAATGATTGACTTAATGATATATTCACAAAGTGTCTCACTAGCCCTCATATTATTTTCATCTGTAACAATATTAGAGCATATGCCCATCTGGAATGAGATTATTAAATTTTTTATTTATATAGTTGTGATGCATGCCCCTGCCTAAGGTAGGTTGATAAGAATGGGTCAAGTAGGACTAACATGCTTTTGGCTTGCAAACCTCTTAGGATAAGGTGAACAGGATACCTCAACTAAATCTCATGCCTTTTTTTCTTATATAGTAAATAAAAATAAATATAAAAAGTAGACGTCATCAAGGTATCATATAGTAGGCAACCATAATAATTTTTAACTTATCTATTTTAAAAGATAATTTTTTCATGTATACCAATGTAATTCTAATTCTTGACTTCGGTATCACATTCCCTATAAGACAATCAGTATCAATTATGTACTACATAAAAAAATTGTGTAACTTGTCCGCAAATTAAACATTCCTTTAAGATGTTGTAATGATTCGTGATCTAACTTTTACCTTTTAGGGTTTTGAATTTATAGCAAATGATAGAGATCCTGCGAAGTCCTTGGTTCTTGGTCAGCCAGTTTTACTTGCTTTGGAAGAAATTGATGGCACCCCATCCTTCTTGGAGAAGGCTCTTAGGTTTATGGAGGAGCATGGTGAGATTCTCTTTCTTTAGTGTCAAACCAATATGATGTTATTTCTACCTGAATATATTATTTCTTTATGATTCCTATCTTAAAATTCTTGAAATATTTGCTTCTCCTAAGTGCAGGATATATCCTATTACTATCTCTTCTTTTGTCAAGCTCTTGCTCTAAGATGAAGAAAATAAATATCTATTTTTATGCGCTCTCTTATAAAATTTCATACTTACTTCACCCTATGGGTGAATTTTAAATCCATAACTTGGAGACTTATTGTGGAATGAGAGAGCAATTTAGGGTACTACAATTTTAAACCCATTCACAATAGAACCACTTGGTGTTTTCCAATGTTTTTGTCGAGCTCTTGCTCTAAGATGAAGAAAAGAAATATCTATTTTTAATGAAAGTAGATGTGCTCTCTTATAACATTTCATACTTCCCCCTATGGGTGACTTTGAGACTTATAGTGGAATAATGAGAGAGCAATTCAGGGTACTATAGTCTGAAATCCATTCACAATAGAATCACTTGGTGTATTTATTTCCCCATGTTAGTGGATCACTGCAATGAATTTAAATAAATTACTCCCGTATGTAGGAAAAGAATGTGCTTAATATATCAATGTTAGGAGACAACATAAAATGAAGTAATTTCTCTTATAAAATGTTATTCCAAGATTTAGATGCATTTATGACGACTCTAACTAAGGAAACCAAGGTGGAAAGAAATCCCAACATATCTGCTACGTATAATTGTGCTCATTACTTTTGATAGTAACATGCACATAATAGAGACATGGGTTCCCTAGTGCTTGCTTCATTGAATGAATCAATGAAGCACCATTTAAAAAAATGAAAATAAACATTACATATATAAGTAAAATATCTAAATAAAAAGGAGTCAATAAAAATAATTTAATTTAAAATAAAATAAAAAATAGATAGCCAAAAATCCTCCTACGACAAGAAAAATCTTAATGAAAATATTAATGGATTAACATACTGTTCATTATCAAGATTGTCAAAATCTACTTCGTCATTATAGTCATTATATTTCTCATCATCTTCTTCTTTCTCTTTAGCCAAAAATAAATAGGAGTTAGCTAGTTAGGACAGTTGAGATAGTCATATACTAAATCTTTCTTTCATACATGCATGTTTAAACATGCTTCAATTCCTCTCATGTCTAGATAAGTTGCAAGTTAGATTACTTTGATGGCAAGCTTTTTCAAGTTTTAAGTGGAAGAACCATGTTGCTTCCACCATTCAACTATGAAAATAAAAATTCATAAGTTAATAAGCAAAGAACTTAATAGTTAAGGGTATAAAATAACATAGAAGCAGTTGATCACCCGGTGACCTCATCTTTCTTAGTATAATAGACATTGAAAGTCCAAAAAGTTGCTTAATATTCATGTAAGTACTAAGTTGAATTGTTACAATATCTTTCTCGGTGATATCACAAGCCAACTCAGCAATACATTCACAGGATCCTTTCCACACTTCTGGATCTTGTACATCCAACTCAAAATAATCATTAAAGACTTCCAAGTTCAAAATATTTCTAGTTGTATGTAAATATTGATGAAGTTGATCTTTATAGATTTATACTAGATTTGCATCCACAATATCGTTTTTCATGGTATTTTTTGACAAGTACGATGGATAGAGAAAATATTGTGATTTTGGACAAGATTTTGGGTGCTAGAGAGAAGGTGGAGCACCCCTACTGTGATTAAATTTCACAGTGAGTTTCTTTTGTACAAAAAATGTTATGCCTCGAACCTTGGTCTGGGCGGACCAACACCCAGTGCCTTAACCCAACTGCGATCCTTTTACATGAATATACAACTACACTATTTCAATGATATTATATTTATAAGCAGAATAGTAGGCTTTAGTCACATATGAGCAACACTCGATTCTATAGTGGAAACATAGAAGTAAGTTAAGTAGAACCTTTTTCTCATAAATTTACATAAGAAATCCTTTAAACATAAACACAATTGCAAATACATACTCAAGAATACATATGATGATTTTCTTCAAAATATATTCATGACTTATGTACACTATGCTATGAAGCCACTAATACATGACATCTAAATAGAAATTTAAGGTCAACGCACCAACGTACCCAAAAAGATCTTTAAAACGTCCGAGTATAAATTGACCCTAGATAATACATAGGTCTCACCAACACTTGTTCAATTCTGAGTGAGACATCTACTGAGGAAGCATGTCGCTCATAAACCTAAACCTGCATCGTTAAATGCAAAGCCCCAACAAAATAGAAACATAAGTACATACAAAATAATATTGTATGATAAGGCAAACATATTACATAAGATGTATAAATAAGCTCATAAGGGTAAGAACATGAAACATAAAATTATATAACAAAAGTAATGAGAGACATCATTAAGTTTCAATATGCATATATTTGTTATAATACCTTACTTTGTAATGGCATGGTCTCGTTTATTAGTATTTGGGATACTATCCATCATATTCAGGTTCTAATGACAGTCATATCAAAATAGTGGAATAGTATTTGCCATATTTGGGCCTTCGAGCTCATGGAACAATCATACCATGAAAGTTGAATATTATCCATCGTATTTGGAACTCGTGCTAGTTGCACAATGATAACGCTCAACTATACTTCATGATTAAGGTATAGGAGGTTGTTGTTGTAACATATAAGGTCGAAGTTGAACCACAAGGACCAAATTGACTTGTCAACTCAATAAATACTAGCAAAATGTATTCTTAACACGCAATATATATAAAGAGGAGGATTTGGAAATACTAGAATTTAGCAATCACGAGTATCAAATTAAGGATGCTAACACAAATGAGTATTCAACAATAGAGGAAATTATTAGGGTGTATGCATTACGATGGAGTTTCAATATAATAGTCAATGATTATTCAAATCCAAATTGGTCAATACATGGAAAATGTTTGTTCTAGGCTTACACTCGATAATCCCTCAAACTATCAAACTTATATTCCTCAGATTCTCTCAAACTCCAAGACTATAACAATCAAGGTATAAACATTGCTTGAGTCGGTAGACTATCGCTAGATCTACCATTAAATGAGAATTAGTCATATTATACTATTTCTAGCTATAATCCAAACACTTATTTTACAAGTCCTTACTAATGAAGTCTTACTCAACTCTATTTTGCTTTCTCAGGCCATATTAGTATTAGAGAGTTCAACCAATATTTGCAATCACTTATTTTTAGATTAAAATTTCAAGACAATAATAGATCCATGTATAACAAGCAGTTTTAAGATCTAATTAATCAATATTCTTTGGATTTTACACTCACATCTTGCGCACACACACCCCTAGCTAGAGAGTATACATATTAAGGAAAACACCATTTCTAGAAAATTGATAGCCAAAAGTGAATTCTAAATTTTGGAGTATACACAATCTGAGTTTTGTTTCTCAACAAGCAAGAAAATTCTTGGGTACTTTTTTTTTATCTCTACTATGCAATACAATAATAATATTATAATGTCTTCTATTTCTTAAATTGAGAAGAAGATACTTTCTTGACTTTTTTACAAGATGAATAACTTTTAACTAACTTTTACGTCTTTTCTTCTTCTTATCTTCTTCTCCGTCTTTATCTTCTTCTATCATATCTCTTTTCCGTCTCTATCTTCTTTTATTTTATCATTCCAGCTGGACGTCGGGGATTACATTATCTTCTCCATTGCATTTTGAACATATGTGATCAGGGTATTTGTGTCCAATTAGCTTGCAATATCTGGTTAATAATTCTGCTGAAATAAATCCTTCCTTTAATGCTCTTGTTGTAGGTCGTTCTTCTGGCTTAAGTAATGATAAAATCCATCTCTGGACTTCATCCATATCTGCTTTCCTTAGCTCCCTTGAATTGGCATAAATCATTAACTGATCTCTTGCATAGTAACTCCATATAGCGTTTCCGTTTAAATAATTATTTGCTAGTTCTTGTATAATAGTTGATATACCAATTATTCTCTTATTGGCATAAAAACTGGGTATCTCGGTTTTTTGTATCTCTGGTTGCTGTCCGATATCTTCCGGTATTATCATATCTTTTGTTAGTCCTATCTTTACTACTTGTATCGGAGGTTTTATTTCCTCGTGTAATATCTCTGCTGTTGCCGTATAAAACTTTACATAGAATAGATTTCCCTTAGTAACTCTCTTATAAGTAATAAATGCT